AAGAGTGACCCCGGTTATGTCGCGTTTATTTTCTCGTTTTCAAGAAAATTGCCGTATCCGACTCATATCTCTACCCATATTCGGCTAATCAAATCGACCTGTTCACTTTATCTTCTTATCATCGCCCTCTTTCTTTCCCATTCTCTCGTTGATCCTTCTTTCACGATCACCTTCCGTAATAATTCCGACTACGTAGTAGGTGTTAGGTATCGTGAAACTCGCAGCGAAAATTACGGTCGTATTACACGGGACTCGTAAAGTTAGCCCCTCATAATTCATCGCGACACGTATATTTTGCTTCGGCCTTTATTCACGGAGTGGTTACACGTAGTTTATTGCGCCAGCACGATGCATCGGGAATAGACGTCTCGAGATGCAAATGCATTTGCTGTTATGCGCACGGCTGTGCAACTCCTTAATTAATTAAATTCAATCTTCATATATAACGCCTCTTATCCGACGCGTTTAATCAAGACGATGATACTGGAGGAGCGTTTCTGCAGGATAAGCTTCTCGTACATACGCAATCGAGCGCCTCGTCGGATAATTACGGTCTCCCCGACGATTAAAAAATGAGCCATTTTTCACTGTCGACCGCACAGATTTTACCTGTAAATAGGGAATTAAAATCAATAATAATTTTAGTAAGATCAATATTCCACGCTACGAATACGAATGAATGTACCCTATGCAATTTATCGCGTTTACATTGGTTTTGAATAAACATAGAGATTGTCTTCGTATATAGCTGTAATATCGAAATATAAATTCGCTCAAAACTAGATCGGTTTCAATTCGTGCCGCAAACGGATTGATGCACGCATGAAAACAATATCGTAACCAATTAGAAATAATGCAATTTGACGGCATTCATCTCGTGTTATGCAATTGCCAAATAAACGATAATTAAATAAACTCTTCATCTCCAGAGATTTTTATCGATCATATCAGTCAATCTCTGTCCGAGAGATCATCTTTAATTCTCATCTCTCCGAATATTAACATTGCGTATTTGCGTTAGCTCGCGGAGAATTTTTATTTGCGCTTTTATTGCGGTAAGAATTATTTGCGCTTTTTCGGAAACGTAATTTCGAGATATTTTCCACACAATAGAATACGCCGCGGTAATGGGCTTGATACAGAAGAAGAAATATTACGGTTCGAAGCACGGTTGCATTTATATTTCACGATAGTCGGAGGACTGCGTTTGAAATCTATCGCGAAAGAAGAAATTGATCATGCTCTCTTTATTGACAATAATGATCCATACCATACGTGTGTCTACGCGTACATTTCTACACAGGTATACACAAACGCACATATTCCTTTCGTAATCAGAGATTGAGACTGCTAATTACAACTTCGGCAAGCTTGATTCTCGATGCTTCAGGTATGGAAAACGTATCTTGCGCCGAACAGACATGAAAATCATCTCCGCGTACATGTAACGCCATAGTCTGAACTCGCCGAAATTATCCCGGTACTCAATCCCGGTTTATCGGTTCGCATCGTCGCGTCAACACGTACACAGACACGTGACAGGAAGGAGAACGGTGGGAGGGAGGGAGAAATTTGCGTGTCAACGGCGGACATCATCTACAGCATCGTCAGGAAGGCATGCAGCTACGCCGCGCACACGACAAGGAACGGCCATTAATATTTCTGTTACATACATATATATACAGACACTTAACATGCGACACACACGCTGTACAGATAGATCAATCGATACGGTTGATGTTGATTCGTTGAGTGACACGAAGGGCGAAATGGATCGAACAAAGTTCAGGTGTGTACGACATACAGACGACACAGTCTTTGGTTGGTACAAATCTCTATATACACGTATATATAGACACACAATTTATGTCATGGGGGAAGAGCAGTCGATATATGAGTCGGGCGGGGGGGTAGGGGCGGTCTGTGGGGGAGAGACAACGTTTATATGCGGCGGAGCAATTGGTGAAAATGCGCACGGATACTGCATTTCGACGGGGCGCGATGCAGCGACGGCGACGGCGATGTAGCGGCGCGTAAACGGGAATCGAGAACGAGCTACGCAATTTCGGCACCTACCCTATCTATGTCGAGTCACGGTAGCAAGCGAAGCTCGTAAATCCCACCGTCGAAATATACGTGCGTGCGATGCGCGAAAACGCGCATAGCTTGTATTCTCACGCCACCGCGTGTGATCGAGGATTTCTCGCCGTGTGCGGCTTGATTGAACCGTGTGCGCGCAAATTGTTTAATTGGCCGCATCTTAATTGATTCTCCCATTCGGCCGCCTCTAACGCGAGCTCTACAAACGCGATCTCTTTCAAGTTCATTAGAGACTCCAAAGAATTTTCGTACCCCGTACCGCAGAGATTCTTTTACAATTCCGTACGAGAATTATCATACTTTAACATTGTAATCGATAAGAGAAGAGCATAGACTTTTATATATATACTAGACTGCTAACAGCGATGTGACAGGTGAAGCCAGGGCAGCCATTTACAATTGGGCAGAATATAACCAGGCTGTCAATCGATACTTATTTTTGAAGGGAAAACTGCAATATTAATATAAAAGTTTTGTATATATTTAATATAAAAGTTATGTTAAAGCTGTCTCTTCAAAAATAAGTATCGATTGACAGCCTGGTTA